ATATATATATATACACACACACACAGTTGAAGTCAGAATTATTTGCCCCCTTCAAATATTTATTCTTCTTTTTAAAATATTTCCCAAATGATGTTTAACAGAGCAAGGGAAATTTTCACAGTGTGTCTGATAATGTTTTTTCTTCTGGAAAAAGTCTGATTTGTTTTATTTTGGCTAGAATAAAAGCAGTTTTTAATTTTTTAAACACCATTTTAAGGACAAAATTATTAGCCCCTTTAAGCTAAATGTTTTCTTGAAAATCTACAGTACAAACCATCATTATGCAATAACTTGCCTAATTACCCTAACATGCCTATTAACCTAGTTAAGCCTTTAAATGTCACTTTAAACTGTATAGAAGTGTCTTAAAAATATCTAGTCAAATATTATTTACTGTCATCATGGCAAAGATAAACTAAATCAGTTTTTAGAAATGAGTTATTAAACTATTATGTTTAGAGATGTGTTGGAAAAATCTTCTCTTCGTTAAACAGAAATTGGGGAAAAAATAAACGGGGGGTCTAATAATTCAGGGGGGCTAATAATTCTGACTTCAACTGTATATAGAAAACAAACTGGAAATAAAGCCTCTTAAACAATTTAGAAATATATTATTAAATTATAAATGTATAACTCGATAGCTGCTAGCATGATTATAATTTGAAAAAAAAAATTAAAAACAAATGCATAAATTATGACAAATAACAAACCAATATAAACAACACACATAAAAACAGAAAGTGGAACAAACAAGTTAAATAGCCATCATAAAAATGCATAAAATAAACTAACCATTATATCAACATAAATTTCATTTAAAAATAGCATTTGGACTCAGAATTATGAGGTGAATATGTTGAGGTGAAATGTCAAACTCCATTAAAAACTAAACCAATAAATGCACGCACACATATAATTGCATAACCATCATGCTGCAAATGATCATCCAATAAAGAAAGCATTAGCACTGACCTCAGAACAAGCGCCGTGTCACGTTTCTTTGGTCCAGGCCTAGATGAAGCATCTTTGCCTCTAAGGGCTTTCAGCGAAATAATGCTTTGCCACTTATCAAGCTGTAGTCACTCCTCACTCGCAAGCCATTTTCCTACAATCAATAAAAACATGAGGCTCTGATGCAATTAAACCAATGCATTTCTTTCTTCTTGTTTTTATTCTTCATCTTTTCTAAAACAGCAACAAACTCCCTGCCGGACTGAACGCATTCAGAAGTCTTTACAGTGAGTCTAATTAACACAAGCAGAAAACACTCAGATTATGACTTTGCTGTTTGTTCAAACTACAGAACAAGCTGGAACAACACAGTTATTGAGGTTTTTTTTGGGACATCTTAATTGTTTTATGTTCTATCCACTTAAACTTGTAAAAACTAAGAAGTTAACTTAATTTCTTCATGTTGTTCAAAAAGAAATCGATTGTGTGGAACCCAGCATTTTTACAGTGAAGATTAAAAATGTTTAATGAACTCAAAAAAATAAAGTTTTCTATTATTATTATTGTTGTTTTTGTTGTTGTTGTTGTTGATGATGATGATAATAATATTAATTATTATTATTATTATTATTATTATTATTATTATTATTATTATTATTATTAGTAGTAGTAGTAGTAGTAGCATTATTAATATTATTTGTCATTAATTATTATTATTATTATTATTATTATTATTATTATTATTATTATTATTATTATTATTATTATTATTATTATATTGATAATAATAATAATAATAATAATAATAATATTAATAATAATAATAATAATAATAATAATAATAATAATACTTTATATTTAAAAG